ACAAAAAGAAAACCCCAATAGAGAAACTAATAAAACTCCACTCTCTCTGGTGACAACCGTTAAATGACAAACTGAATGGGCTCCATTTCAGTCTGGGATCCCCAGGCCCGTTGGCAGAACCACCTCTTCAGGGCTTCTTGAAAGTGGCCTTGTGGAGCTAAGACTGAATGCGTTTCAGCATCGATGGCCACCACAAAATTGTACATTGGCTCCCGGCCGGCCTGGGCCAAGGCCAAGGCAGCGGGGGCCGTTCCCTCACTGTTTCCAGGATGGCTTCGTGGGCCACATGAAACCACTTCGCGGGCCACATCCAGCCCCTGGGCCTTGTGTTTGACATGTCTGGACTAGGGCATGGATGACTATGAGCAGAGATTGTTATCAATAAATGCAAATGTTTCGCATTCATGGACTTCCCAAGAGGTGAAGGGAGAACCCAAATAAATCAGATGGAGGAGATTGCAGGATGGAGACAGTGTATTTTTCCTGGCTAAATTTTATAAGTTTCTACTGGAAGGGGATGAAGCACGAAACCCAGCCTAGACGGGACTGCAGTTTAGTTTAGCAAAGACTTTTAGTGCTTTATAACGTGCGCTTAAGCCTAAAATCTTAAACCCTATTTCTCCCACATTTCTTTTACTGTGGAAAATTTCTTGGTTTTCTTTCAAGAGAAAGAAAGTTTCCACAGATGGAGGGAGGGAGGAAGGAAGGAAGGAAAGAAAGAGGGAGGGAAGGAAAGAAAAAAAGAAAGAAAGAAAGAAAGAAAGAAAGAAAGAAAGAAAGAAAGAAAGAAAGAAGGAAGGAAGGAAGGAAGGGAAGGAAGGAAGGAGGAAAGGAAGGAAGGAAGGAAGGAAGGAAGGAAGAAGAAAGAAAGGAAGGAAGGAAGGAAGAAGGAAAGGAAGGAAGGAAGGAAGGAAGGAAGGAAGAAGAAAGAAAGAAGGAAGGAAGGAAGGAAGGAAGGAAGGAAGGAGGAAAGGAAGGAAGGAAGGAAGGAAGGAAGGAAGAAGAAAGAAAGGAAGGAAGGAAGAAGGAAAGGAAGGAAGGAAGGAAGGAAGAAGAAAGAAAGAAAGAAAGAAAGAAAGAAAGAAAGAAAGAAAGAAAGAAAGAAAGAAAGAAAGATCCACAACACAAAGAGTTGTGGGAGGAAAAAGCGGAATTTCTCAGGGAGAACAAAGGATTTCTTAACCCAGCCTGTTTATCTGGCAGCCCTTCAGATAAAATAAATCCTGCAGGATCCCTCCAGCGATGAGGTTACCAGCGTTCAACCTCAGCCAGTGGAAAGGAGAAATAAAGTAGGCCGAGATCTCGGCACAAATCCTTTGCAATGAACGCAAATAAACTCCCTTGAACACCTCCTTTCCCAACGTGTGTGTGTGTGTGTGTGTGTGTGTGTGTGTGTGTGTGTGCGAGTGTATGTCTGTGTGTCTGTGTGGCCGGGGCACAATCCGAGGAGAAAAGGCGCATTGTGGGATCGGACAGTTTGTTCCCGTGGAGTTTCGTGTGCAGGAAACTCAAGGCCTGCCATTCAATGTGCAGTCCTTGCACAACACCTGTGAAAAAAATGGGGCATGAGCGATTCCCACGTGGGGCCAACATTCACAGTTTCCCAGGAACAGCCAATGCCTTTCCTCGGCTGCAACAAATCAGAGGAAGCTCCCGATTCTAATTCTGCACCCTGGAGCCCACACGACAAGGTCCTTCGCCCCAAGCAAGTACAGTTAGTCTCAACTTACAACAATCCCTTTAGCGACCATTCAAAGTTACAACGGCACTGGAAAAAAGGGATTTACGTCCGTTTTTCACGCTTAACGACCGTTGCAACGTCCCCCAGGGACACGTGATCAAAATTCAAAGGCTTGGCCACCGCTTCATATTTGTGATGGTTGCAGCAGCTCGGTGTCATGTGACCCCAAGTCAGTGGGGATTCACTTAAGAAAGGTTGTAAACTGGGACTGCCCCTGCTTAATGATGGGGCTGGCCCTTCAGAGCTGAAGAGCTCTCTTCAATAGCTAGGCCAGGGGTAGGCCACCTTGGCTCTTTTATGACTGGTGGACTTCAACTCCCAGAATTCCTGAGCCAGCCATGCTGAGGGGAAAGGGAGAGGTTTCCATGCTGAGCCATGCTGGCTCAGGAATTCTGGGAGTTGAAGTCCACGAGACATGAGGGGGCCATAGTTCCCCCATGGTGGCTCAGGAATTCTGGGAGTTGAAGTCCACCAGTCATAAAAGAGCCAAGGTTGCCTACCCCTGAGCTAGGCTTATAGTCAATGCTCACATTTTAGGGTGCTACGAATTTCTTGGGTGGAGCTCTAAGTCTGCTCGAACTACAGCACCCATCACTCACTCCAGAATACTCCAATGACCTTGGAATAAGAGTCCGGCTCTTTTTCTATGGCTTCTTGACTTTTTGGATCCCTCTGCAGATCGCCTAAAGTCTAATAAGTGAGGGGGTCTCCAATCTTGGCAACTTTATGACTTGTGGACTTCGACTCCCAGAATTCCTCAGCCAGCCATGCATGGCTGGCTGAGGAATTCTGGGAGTCGAAGTCCACAAGTCGTAAAGTTGATAAGGTTGGAGACCCCTGTAATAAGTCATTATTATTATTACTCTTCTGAATGAGTCGAGTCCCATGGATTGTGCTTATTATACAATCCAAAACAAGGACCTCAGGAGGAAAGGGAGAAGCTGAAAGAGGAGCAGGAATCCATCTTAGGCTGGAAACTTTTTAAACATGCTGAGTTCTCATGACAGCAGGAACCAAAACCGGTTGGTACAAGTGTGGAAACACTGGAAGAGCTGTCCCATCTTTGGCAACTCTCATCCAACCTGATGGGATACTTCAACATATGGAATTGAATAGTTTCTCCTCATTAAGCAGAGTCCTTACCTTCTGCAATCAGATTTTCCTTTCCCGGAAAATCATGGGGGTGGCGAGATCCTTTTCTCCTCCTTCTCTCTTTTCTCTTATCCCTTTTTTCTCTGTTCTCTTTTCCCTTTTGTTTTCTTGTTCTCGTTCTCCTTCTGCTCCTTCACCTTCTCCCTTCCCCCTTTCCCTTCTCTTTCCTTCCTTTCTTCCTTCCTTTTCTCTTTTCTTCCTTCCTTCTCTTTTCTCCCATCCTTTCTTCCTTTTCTCTTTTCTCCCTCCCTCTTTTCCTTCCTTCCTCCCTCCCTCCCTTCCTTCCTTTCCTCCCTTCCTTTTCTCTTTTCTTCCTTCCTTTTCTCTTTTCTTCCTTCCTTCCTTTTCTCTTTTCTCTTTCCTTCCTTCCTTCTCTCTTCTCTCCTTTCTTTCTTTCCTTCCTTCCCTTCTTTCCTTCCTTTTCTCCCTCCCTCCCTCCCTTTTTATCTTTTCTCCTTCCCTCCCTTCCGTCCTTTCCTTCCTTCCTTTTCTCTTTTCTCCCTCCCTCCCTTTTTCCTTCCTTCCTTCCTTCCTTCCTTCCTTCCTTCCTTCCTTCTTTCTTTCTTTCTTCCTTCTTTCCTTTTCTCTTTTCTTCCTTCCTTCTCTTTTCTCCTGTCTTTTCTTCATTTTCTCTTTTCTCCCTCCCTCCCTTCCTTCCTTTCCTTCCTTCCTTTTCTCTTTTCTTCCTTCCTTTTCTCTTTTCTTCCTTCCTTTTCTCTTTTCTCTTTCCTTCCTTCCTTCTCTCTTTTCTCCTTTCTTTCCTTCCCTTCTTTCCTTCCTTTTCTCCCTCCCTCCCTTTTATCTTTTCTCCCTCCCTCCCTCCCTTCCTTCTTTCCTTTCTTCCTTCCTTCCTTTTCTCTTTTCTCCCTCCCTCCCTTTTTCCTTCCTTCTTTCTTTCTTTCTTTCTTTCTTTCTTTCTTTCTTTCTTTCTTTCTTTCTTTCTTTTTCTCTTAGCTCCATTCCTTCCTTCCTACTTTCCTTCCTTCCTATTTCTGAACCTTGGCCAACCTTTGAGATGGGAGGACATCAACTCCCAGAATTCCCCAGCCAACCAATTCTGGGAGTTGAAGTCCATCTTAAAGAGGCCAGGTTTGAAAAAACACTACTTTATAAGTGTATCCAATGGGAAAATGTTCCACTCTATCAAACAGAGAGGTTTTTCATTGCTCCACTAAGGCCCCCTTTCAAAAAAAGAGAGAAGCTGGTGATACAAAGTTTTGAAATCAGGGTTTTTGGCGGTCAAAATGCCTCTTGAACCCCTTCCAAGATACTCAGCATGCAGAAGCTCGCAGCTTTTACTCGATGCTAACAATAGCTTCGTACTTTACTTTCTCCCAGTTCCCACTTCCCGGTTCTTGGCATAGTTAAGTGGGCTCAGGGATGCATTGCTAATGAATCAGTGCGTCTGTCTTTCCAACGTTCTGTGGAAACCCTTGATAATGAACTAAATGGTATTAAACAAAAAGGAAAACTCAAAGCAAAACAGCCCTGTGTATGCTTATGTTTGGGGGCCATGAGAGAACACAAAAGCATCTGCTTGTTTTAATATATCAAAAGTAAAAAAAATCTGCTTGCTTTTCTAGACATTTAAAAATCACCAACTGGCTGGTATATCTAAGTGGGATGTTAAGATGTTTTATATATTTTTTTTATAATTTATAATTTTTCTTATCATTCAAATTATTCTGTTTGGACATTTAGACCCTGCTTTCAGCTGGATCTGACCCACCAAAATATAAAAATAAGGTATCTCTTTCTTATGATTCACAGTCTATTTTTTTTATTTCTAACAACGGTCAAACTTTCCTATCCCATCGCTTAAAAATCTTTGAAAGGTGGGTGACTTTTACTGACAGATCAAGTGGGAATTTTCACCTTCTCCCTGCTGGAAAGTTGGTCCAGCTGCAAACAACTGGGGAAGTATTATTTCTCCTTTCCTGTTTTTATTCCTTCTTCCTTCCCTCCCCCCCCCCCGCTTCTTTTCCTGCATCAGACAGTCGTCCAAGGAGAAGTTGGATGGCACACATGAAAGAGAGGGGGGGAAAAAAAACAGAATCCAACTCTGCATGAAGTTTCATTTCCTGCAGAAATGAAGCAATCTAATTTGCAAGGAGGAGATTAAAAAGCATCAGCTCAGGTTTTTATCCTTGTGCCGGGGGCTGATGACGGAGGCTGGAGGCAGGTTTATAGGGAGCAAAAACCGGATGGTCCTGCAGAATCCACCCAGGAATAGTGTCTCCACTCACAGCTACAAGTAAGTAAAGAGCAACAAAATGGATTGGGAAGACTTAAAACCAACTTTGGTTAATATATATAGAGAGAAGAATGTTCCCATCAAATCATTCAGCTCAAAAAAAACCCCTTGATTTCTTTTTCATTTTAAAATAACTAGACGTTTCTGGCTTATTAATGCAAAACAAAAATTGGCATGGGGCATTTATGGAAAATATGTTATGGAGGTGACCGTGATTAGTAGATTCCCTCTACGAAGGATGAAGGCTTTTGTTTTTTGACAGTAGCAGTGTCGGTTGCTCAGAAATGTAAAAACAGATTTTCCAATTTTGCTGTGTTTTGTCTTGGGGAAATTTTTCTCTTGGGTTTGACAGCTGGGATTTCTTGCGTTGTCAATTTTTTTTAAATTAGTGAAATAGAACAACCCCCTCTTCTAAAATGCAATGAATTTGAATATTAAAACTCAATTTTAAATTAAATAGAAAATTTAACTCTTCTGTATATATATATATATATATATATATATATATATATCTTCAGCAAAATACTTTTGTTAACAAATTAGATTTAAATTAAAATTTAATTTAAATCTAATTTGTTATCAAAATATGTTCTGCTGATGAGGTAAAAATCTACAGAAACGTGATTAAAGTGATTTTCCTTTTGAAGAGACTGAATTATATCTCCCAAAATATGAATAGGGAACTGGTTCAATCCTTTAATGTATTACTTAATCTGGACCATCTGGATCATCTGTGGCTCCATCGTCTTGTTTTGACGAGACAAAGCCATTTTCAAAATCAATAAAGAATACCATTTATTTTTTTATTCTATGTATTTATCATATTTAAGAACTGCCCATTATCCTTTGTAGAGGGAATCTACTATTTACTATAGTAAAACAATTAAAAACAAGAGTAAGATTATCAAAATTAAAAAAAAAAACATTTCTGGAACCCAAAGAAGAGGGGGTCAGCTTATTCTCCAAAGCGCCTGAAGGCAGGACAAGAAGCAACGGATGGAAACTAATCAAGGAGAGAAGCAACCTGGAATTAAGGAGAAATTTCCTAAAAATGAGGACAATTAACCAGCGGAACAGCTTGCCTCCAGAAGTTGTGAATGCTTCAACACTGGAGGTTTTTCAAGACGAAAAGCTGTGTTAGAAGATTGTTCGCCATATATAGCAGACATATCTGGTGTGGGACTTTCAGATGTTTGGGACTGAAAGTTCCCAGAATGATTTTGGTTGCAAACCTAAAATGAAATTGCAGCCATTAATTGATCTGTCTAATAAGAGGAGCATATGAACCTTGGGAATGTTATTTTCTTCCTGTCCATCAATTCTTCTCTTTCTTCTCTTCTCTTCTCTTCTCTTCTCTTCTCTTCTCTTCTCTTCTCTTCTCTTCTCTTCTCTTCCCTTATTCTATTCTATTCTATTCTATTCTATTCTATTCTATTCTATTCTACTCTACTCTACTCTATTCCATTCCATTCCATTCTATTCTTTTATTCTATTCTATATTCTATTCTATTCTATTCTATTCTATTCTAGTCTACTCTACTCTATTCCATTCTATTCCATTCTATTCTTTTATTCTATTCTATATTCTATTCTATTCTATTCTATTCTATTCTATTCTATTCTATTCTATTCTATTCCCATATTCTATTCTATTCCCATATCCTATCCTATCCTATCCTATCCTATTCCCATATTCTATTCTATTCTATTCTATTCTATTCTATTCTATTCTATTCTATTCTATTCTATTCTATTCTATTCCATTCTATTCTATTCTATTCCATTCTATTCTATTTTTAGTTTATTTTTTTCTCCACAGGAGGTGCAACCATGAAACTGGTCTTGGCTGTTGCAGTCCTCCTGATAACTTTGTCTGCAGTAGTGACAGGTAAGACCTGGGGGAGGAGAGGATTGCTTTCACTGGGGGGAGTAAAAAAAGCCCCCCCTCCCGAGTGATGGATTACTGGCAAGGAACTCTGGGGGATGTAGTCCAACACTTCTGGAAGTCTGATATTAAACCCCGGGTGGGGGCCATTGGATAGTACGTTAGTTTCCTTGCAAGATGCTAGTTCTTTTAATATTTCCCTGATATTTTTTTTCCTCTCTCACTGGGAAATGTGACAGATCCAGAATTCTTGCGAAGAGAGAGCCTAGAACAGGATATTGTATTTCTCCAAGCCTCCCTTTCTTCTCCTTTTTTTCTTAAGTTTCTATAGGTTTTTTTAAAAAAAATCTTTGTAAACTTATTTTCAATTATATATATTTAGCTCGACTTACAATAATTTGTTTAGCAACTGTTGTTGGTTACAATGGCACTGAAATATGGATAGAGATAGATAGATAGATAGATAGATAGATAGATAGATAGATAGATAGATATAGATATAGATATATAGATATATAGATATAGATACAGATAGTCAGACAGGCAGGCAGATGATAGATTATAGAGAGATAGAGAGATAGATAGAGTAGATAAGTAGATATAGATATAGATTGATAGACAGGCAGATGATAGATGATAGATAGATTAGATAGATAGATAGATGATAGACAGACAGATATATAGATAAATAACATACATGATGCAAAAAAATGTGTGCACGCCAACCCAAAATATCCACTGTTCTATGTTCTGAGTGTATTGAACCCTGTGTCAATTTCTCAACACATAGCTGGATTCACACAACATGCCAGACTAGGCTAAACACAATTGGGTAGTTTGCAACCCAGTGTTTTGTGAGGCATCAAGTATGGTTCCAACATGTTCTGTGAACCAGGTTATCCCATTAAGCCCTATCATGGTTTATTTGTTTGGGCATAGTGCCTGTTATATGAACTCAGCATTAAGTGTGGGTTTAGTGTTGAGTGTAAGGAAGTAACATGCTTCTGTTTTCAATGTATTAATCCCAAGACCCCAATGAAGACGGTGGGAAAGAACCCACCGTGGCCCAAAAGTTTGAAAAGTTCCAGAAGGAAGTCCAGACTTTTGTTGACAACCTTGGTGAGAAGACCAAAGCGGCTCTTCATGAATTCCACAACAGTGAATTCAGCAACAAAACCAGGTGAATGTTTTTAGCTCACATTCTTCCAACTGTGACTATTAGGAGGGAAGTAGGATGGGGGGAGGGAGCTTGGGTCAGCCATCTTGGCTGAGAATTCAAAGAGTTGAAGAAGAAGAAGGATTCTCCAGAAGAACCCAACATCTGGAGAACATCATCCAAAAGAAGCCCATCTTAATATTTAGCATGAAATTTCTCCTTTGTAAATCTGGAGATAGTTCCCCAGAGCGTATTTTTACTGTTTCCATGTCCTGGTCTTTTATAATTCAATTTTGCAAGTTTTTCTGCAGTTGTCCTCACTTCTGCCAATTTTGAAACTCTGAAACCCTGGAGCCACCCAATTCTTATCCTCTACTAATTAATCCTTGATCTGTTCCTGCTTCTGCCAGCTATAAATATTGCACTCCCGTCCCATAATAGAAATAAAATTAATAATTAAATGCTTCCTTCCCGTCCATATTGTTAAGGAAGCCACAATGGCCTCCCAAGGGTTACCACATCTTTGTGCAAACAGCGTGAATTATGCCTCGTGGACCAATCCAGCCATGATGCATAGGAAAAGCAGTAGGTGATTTCCACCCATTAGCATAACGAGGTCATGAAGCATGTGACATCCTCTGAGCCTCCCTGCCCAATTTGCAAGAACCCATGACTTACACGTTGGTGTAGATGCCCAATTTGTTGAAAAAAAAATTCCAAGCAATTGATATGGTGGGAAGTTTCCTGTCTGCGAAGCCACCATTCCTTCGTGGAACGGGACATTCTCTGTAATCTCAGTGAGGAAACTCTTTCCATAGTTTGTATAACCATTAATTGGGGGAAATGAAGGGGCCGGTTTTAAATGCATTTATTCTTCCTTTTGATTTAGTATGGCTGTCCAAACAGTTAAGACAACCACAAAATGCCACTGTCTATAGCAGTGGTTCTCAACCTTTCTAATGCCGCGACCCCATAATACAGTTCCCCATGTTGTGGTGACCCCCAACCACTTATACATCACCGGGTGCCAGGGGCAGGGCCAAAGAAAAGGGGGAAAAAATGGAGGATAGCCTTGTTTGGCGACCCCCGTGAAATGGTCGTTCGACCCCAAATGGGGTCCCGACCCACAGGTGGAGAACCACTGGTCTATAGCAATCCATGATCAGCTTAAGGACCTCTGGGTTGAAAGGACAGTATAGTCCTCAACTTACAAGCTTATAATTGGCTAGGATTAAAAATTTCCCTGGGGTTTTGCTTTCCGGAACCGAAGCTTGTTTCTTCCATTAACCAGAAAGTGACAGATCTTTCAGGCACTGAAAGCGGAAAAGGGAATCAGGCACCAAGACTAGCAAAAAAAAAAATCAGAGGAGCCTGGCAGATGCAGCAGCCACCACTAGATGGCGCCACAGAGCAGCTGAGACAGTTCCATTGAGAAGTTCCTATGGGGAAGAAGAAACCCAGAAAGGTTTTATTTTATTTTATTTTATTATTTTATTTTATTTTATTTTAATTTTATTTTATTTTATTATTTTATTATTTTATTTTTATTTTATTTTATTTTATTTTATTATTTTATTTTATTTTTATTTTATTTTATTTTATTATTTTATTTTATTTTATTATTTTATTTTATTTTATTTTTATTTTATTATTTTATTTTATCATTTTATTTTATTATTTTATTTATTTTATTTCATTATTTTATTTTATTTTTATTATTTATTTATTTATTTCTATCTCTGTCTCTCCTTTTCTCTTTCTTTTTTTTCTTTTTTCTTTCTTACATCTGTCTCTCCTTCCTTTTCTTTCTTTCTTTCTTTCTTTCTTTCTATTTGTCTCTCCCTCCTTTTCTTTCTTTTTTTCTTTCTCTCTATCTGGCTCTCCTTTCTTTCTTTCTTTCTTTCTTTCTTTCTTTCTTTCTTTCTTTCTTTCTTTCTTTCTTTCTTTCTTTCTTTCTTTCTCTCTCTCTCTCTCTCTCTCTCTGAGTTTAGTTGTTTTTTTTTGCAGATGTTTCATTTACCCAAACTAGGAAACATCATCGGTGCTAGTCTCCTCTGTTGCCTCTTTGCCCTCTGGAATCCAGCCCCTCCCTGCTGGGAATCCAGGCTGCATTCCACCACACACTGACAATCCTGCCCCTGGCAGGGGGTTGGACTAGAAGACCTCCACGATCCCTTCCAACCCTATGATTCTACGAGAGCCCCTTAGGTGCCCATGGCCTTCTAAATGCCTGTCAATGAATGTCAACCAGCTTTTGGCAAGCGGCCTGATCATCCGGGAGTTTTGCTGGAGGCTCAGCAAAACAGCCAAACAGGTTCCTAAATTAGCATGTCTGTGATTTGGAAAAACTCCCCCAGATGTGTGTCTTAAGCAATATGGACTGTCCATGAATGAGTGTGAAGCTGGAAACCTTGAAGTCCAAGATGCAAAGTAGTTCTGGAAGCAGCAGGCGCAGGGGCAGAACGGGACAATGGAAAGAGCCATGTTTGATAATAGACAGGTAGTCCTTGACTTATAACAATTCATTCAGAGACCGTTGGAAGTTACAACGGCATTGAAAAAAAGTGACTTGTGACCCTTTTTCACAGTTACAACCATTGCAGCATCCCTAGGGTCGTGTGATCAAAATTCGGACGCTTGGCAACTGACTCATACTTATGACCGTTGCTGTGTGTCCAGGGGTCACGTAATCCTCTCTTGGGACCTTCTGACCAGCAAAGTCAATGGAGAAGCCCAATTCACAGTTACTAGCAGTGTTTCGCTTAACAACGGAGGCAAGAAAAGTTGTAAAACGGGGCAAAATTCACTTCCCACTGGGCAGTGGAGAGCTGTGATGTCTGTTATCTGATTGGTTCCCTCAGCAGCCTTTCTTGACCAGGGTCTCCCAAGGTCTTTCCCACATTACAAGAGTTTGGAAGCCAGACCACTGACCATTTCTTTTGTCCCTGATAGGAACTGGCTTTCCAAGACATTCCAGAAGCTGAAGAACAAGTTTGAACCCTTGACCTCCCAAGATGGATCGGACTGAATGGGCCTCCATTCCTTGTGTCCATCAGTGATAGAGAAGATGCTCATACTGGTAGAATCCCAACTGTAAAGAAAACAAAAACAAAAAAAAAACATCTTGAAAGAGGTGGTCCAGAAGCTCCCACCTTTATTTCCTGCTTTCTTTGTCTGCAGCTGTGCGTTTTTACTTCCCATCCATTGTTAGACGTAAATAAAGAGACCAACTTAAGTAGGAGAGAGGGTGTTTTCAATCATTTGTTCCTAAAATTTTATCAATGACTCTCAGGATGGCACAATTAGCATTTTAACCTTTACTCTCTTTACATTTTCAAGTCCCCCCTCCCTGCAATGACCATCTAGGTCAGGGATCTTCAACCTTGGCAACTTTAAGACTTGTGGACTTCAACACCCAGAATTCCTGAGCATGGCTGGCTGAGGAATTCTGGGAGTTGAAGTCCACAAGTTTTAAAGTTGCTGAAGTTGAGGACCCCTGGTATAGAGTGTTCTCTAATCCATTATGGCAACTTTACGACCTCAGGACTTCAACTCCCAGAATTCCTGAGCTGAGAAATTCTGGGAGTCAAAGTCCACAAGTCTTAAAGTTGCCAAGTTGAACAACTGTGACAAGAAAGATCGCAAAATGGGCCAAAACTCAATTCACGACTGTCTCGCTTAGCAACAGAAATGTTGAGCTCCATTGTTGTCATAAGTTGAGGACTGCCTGTAATCTGGAATGTGAACATTTTTGCCCTGGGCTTAGGCTCCTCAACCTTTCCAGGGAGATCTGGGGTCCTACCGCTGATTCCAAGCCTACTTTCTTTCCGAAAATGGAACGGCACCTGGGGCTTTCCGTAACAATTCAAAGAAGTGTTCTTGCTTCAGAAGACATTTCTGAAGGCCTCCTTCGGGTATCATTTGGTTGATCAGTGACCAAGAGCAAATATTGCTTAAGATCTACGCAAACTGTCCTTGTCTCTCTCACTTCTGTCTACTCATCAGGCTGGAGCCTTGAGTAAACACTCCTTTGGACCCGCGGTTGCTACGAAGCTTTGCCGTTGGGGACTATTCCAAAAACGAGGTCCTTCTGAGCTCGGGAGAAATCAGGAAAACATGGAAGAGGCCGGGAAGAAATGGTGTCTACACTACAGTATTAAAGATACTCCTCGACTTATAAGCACAGCTGGAAGCGGGAATTCCATAAATCATTGCGCTCATAAGCCTAGGCCAGGGGTAGGCAACCTTGGCTCTTTTATGACTCGTGGACTTCAACTCCCAGAATTCCTGAGCCAGCATGGGGGAACCATGGCCCCTTCATGACTGGTGGACTTCAACTCCCAGAATTCCTCAGCCAGCATAGCTCAGCATGGAAACCTCTCCCTTTCCCCTCAGCATGGCTGACTCAGGAATTCTGGGAGTTGAAGTCCACGAGTCATAAAAGAGTCAAGGTTGCCTACCCCTGGCCTAGGCTATTACAATATTTAATATTACAACAACAATAATAATGTTCTTTGCGATTACAAAGAAGTGTTAAAAGAGACCATTTCTTCCTGACTTCCATGTTTGCCCGATCTCTCCCGAGTTCATAAGGACCTCCTCTTTGGAAAGTCCCCAACAGCCTCAACTTAGGACCACAACTTACAACCACAATTGGTTGTCCTCAACCTACAACACACAATTGGGACCAGAATTCCAGTCATCAATCATTGCGGTCATAAGTTGAGTCTCCACATCACCAGGCCATCTTTTTATAGCCGTTGTTAAGCAAATCTCACAGTCGTAAGACACAAATGGCCAAATTTTTTTTGCTATTAAACAATTGGTCCTTAGTCCAGGACTATCTATACTGTACATCAGAGTGTCCTCAGGAGGGGAGGGGGTCAAAAAAAATCAAGATGGGAGCTTCAATTACATATAAAAATCCTGTCCCTTTTTTAAGAGTTTCCAATTTTGGGGCCCCTGACTCTCTTTGAGTAGCAATCATAATTAGTTGAGTCTTATTATTTTAACTGCTCTTTCGTTGAGTTTTATTTTGAAGTATATGCTGCCCATATAAAAATTATAATATATAGTCAAAACAAGTTGGTAAATAAAAAAAATAAAATGTGGGACTTGACAGGACATATCCCATACAGGTGACATGGAAGGTAGAACGTTCTAGGTCTTAGTGAATAACGCTGAATAACAGAATAACAGCTGGAAGGGATCTGGGAGATCTTCTAGTCCAACCCCCTGCTCAAGCAGGAAACCCTACACCATTTCAGACAAATGGGTGTCCAGTGTCGCCTTAAAAACCTCCAGTGATGGAGAACCCACAACTTCTGGAGACAAGTCATTCCATTAATTAATAGTTCTCACTGTCAGGAAGTTTCTCCTTAGTTCTAGGTTGGTTTTCTCCTTGATTAGTTTCCATCCCATTGCTTCTTGTCCTGCCTCATCATGGTGAATGCTCATCTAGAAGGTAGAAGGTGGTAGAAGAACTACCTAGAGCAGGGATAGGCCATTTTGGCTCTTTTGTGACTGGTGGACTTCAACTCCCAGAATTCCTGAGCCAGCCATGCTGAGGGGAAAGGGAGAGGTTTCCAAGCTGAGCCATGCTGGCTCAGGAATTCTGGGAGTTGAAGTCCACCCATCTCTGAGTGGCCAAGGTTGAGAAATACAGGCCTAGCCCAGGGGTAGGCAACCTTGGCTCTTTTATTACTCGTGGACTTCAACTCCCAGAATTCCTCAGCCAGCATGGCTCAGCTTGGAAACTCCCCCTTTCTCCTCAGCGTGGCTGGCTCAGGAATTCTGGGAGTTGAAGTCCACCAATTATAAAAGAGCCAAGGTTGCCTACCCATGACCTAGATCTTCTGGGATAGATCTAGACAAGATCTATCTAGGTGGTCTCTAAATGTCAACCGCTTGATGGCAGGCAACCAATCCAATCAAAGGGACTCGTGCCGCTCCTGATGGGTGGCAGTTCCAAAGATGATTTCCCCCCCACCCCGACGAGATCCTTTAATTAGAATTGATAGCCTTCCAGATCCCTTCATCACGCTTCAAAGATCACTGCTAAGTTTCATTTTCCCATGCCATAACAGTCTGATCTTGTTTGCTTAGACTTTGAACAGGAAAGAGGGATGTGCAGTTTGAGAGAAGGTGGGTAATCATTTTGGATGGGACTTAGTTTTTTTTTTTAATTTTAGCAAGACTGCAAACACATATAAATGTCCTGCTTTTCATACAAGCTCCATCTGGATCTGATCTCCTCGCTGTAGCTGGATAAGAGAACGTGAGTGTGATGGAACATCTAAGCGGTTAACTCGGGGATGGTGCAAGAGCCAGTAAAATTGGACTACGGTATTTGGGTGTAGAAACGAGGAATATGATTTGGAGATTCTTTGCCTTATAGTCCTAATTTCTGTGTAATAGACAAACCAGGTGTGGTAGAGATAGTCCCGGGATCCAGCAGGCCCTTTTACTCCAACAGACTAGCATCAAGGTTAGGTGAGCAGACATTAGGAATTAGTCTCTCATCCCAGATGTCACTTTATAGAGACCCTGCTGATTCTAAACCTGGGTGGGTTTTTCCTCCCCTAAAGATCAGAAAGCTATTGTCCTGTTTTCTTTTTTTAATTTTTGTATGTCTGAAAATGCATTTACAAGGGCGAACTGGAAAGAACCACCTTTTGACCATCCTCTGGAATATTCGTAGCTCGGGGTTGAATTGTGGAGTCCTTGGTGCTCTCTGAGCTTGGTTATTTAATTGTCTTGTCTTGCAAGCAGAGGAATCCACTTAACAACGGTGGCAATAAGGTCGTGAAATGGGGGAAAACTCACTTAATAATTGTCTTGCTTAGCCACAGAAAGTTTGGGCTCAACTCTGGCAGTTAAAAACAGCAAATAAGAAGAAAAAAGGAGGAGAGATTAAACCTAGTTTACAATCATGTGGTTGATTAACTAGAACGCTTCACTTCTTTCTGTCTTTGCAAACCACTTTGGTGGAGCTTGCTTGAGAATTAGGTCTGTGGGGTGAATCTCAGTCAATGTACTTCATGGATTATAATAATAATAAAGTTGGAAAGGACCCTGGAGGTCATCTAATCCAACCCCCTGCTCAGGCAGGAAACCATTTCAGACAAATGGCTGTCCAGTCTCTTCTTAAAAAACTCCAGTGTTGGAGCATTCACCGCTTCTGGAAGCAGGCTGTTCCACTGGTTAATTGTTCTAACTGTCAGGAAGTTTCTCTTTAGTTCTAGGTTGCTTCTCTCCTTGATTAGTGGGTGTTTGGTACCCTCTCAGATCTTTGGCTTTTTTTACAAGCGCCACCAATAAATTTACCCACTGAACAGAGATCAACTACGTGGAAAGAGGCATTTGAGCTCTCTCAATGTTTGTTTACCTTGGCCAATTTTTCTCACCCAAATCTTAGGCACAGCTCTTGCAAAAATGAATCTGAAATTGACGGTTGCTTCCATCCTGCTGCTACTCCTCTGCTCAGGTTAGTTTTTAATCCAACTTCTTTTGTCTTAGAATATTTTTATTTTAGTTTTGTTTGTCGCACAACAGTTAGCCAGATGTTTGGGCCAGATGTGGCATTTTTGCCTGCCGATCAAGTCCTTCCCAAAGACCTGTGATAGGCAGATGTTGTCGTCTGATGGCGTTACAAATATCGTCACAGGATGGAAGCTGTTGCAAGTCAAGCTGCATTTTGCAATTGACTGAAGGGGAGTCTGTCAATGCCGATGGGGGTTCAAGTGGTGCTCCGGCTGTTTTGGGATTGCAGGGCCCCTGCTCCTACTTATTTTACGATTTCATTGGATTTTGTTTTTCTTTATTTTATTTTATTTTTTTTAAATTTTATTTTGCTCTCAAAGGTGGGAATTGCAACTAGGGCAGTGGTTCTCAACCTTTTTAATGCCGCGACCCCCCCCCAACCAGTCGTAAGTCGAGGACTACTCAACCGGTCGTAAGTCGAGGACTACTCAACTGGTGCAGCACCATTTGCAGAATGGGACTTTGGGCGGGCTCAGCAGGGCAGAGACAGCCTGGACAATTCCTATTGGCTTTGGAAAGCCAATAGAATTAGACTCTATTCAAGAGAGTCTATTCTATTGGCTTTCAAAAGCCAATAGAATCAAAGGGAGTAGCCCAGCTAAGGAAAAGGGGGAAAAAAATGGCGGACTGCGTTGTTTGGCGACCCCCGTGAAATGGTCGTTCGACCCCAAATGGGGTCCCGACCCACAGGTTGAGAACCGCTGAACTAGGGGGTGTGGAGAAGAAACCCAAGCCAACCTCTTGTCAATGAAACCCGAAGCAATCCAATCTTCGTCCACATTCAGCTCTCTTTGATTTTTTTTTTTGCAGAGGTTCTCAGCTACAGTGTGCAGAAGAGGAATGCTGAGGATAAAACCGTGCTCAGCCAAATTCAGGATGCGGCACGGGGGTATTACGATTACATCTCTGATGTGACTAATTCCTGGGTAGAAAAAGTCAAATCCTATGACATCAGCCAGCGACTTTGGTAAAGAAATGACAGGGGATGATGGGTGATGGTTTTTTCCCCACAAGGGCCTAATATAACTTTCCGATCAATGATAACGTCATGTTTATTGATTTTATTTGATTTTTATCCTGCCCTTATTATGTTATAACTAGCTCGAGGTGCTGAGCATTCTTAATACTCTATCCTATTTCCCCTCAACAACCCTGCGAGGATGGGCTGGGCGGAGAGGGAGTAACTGCCCAAAGTCTCCCAGCTGGCTTTCCTGCCTAAGGCGGGACTAGAAGTCATAGTCTCTTGATTATTGGTCCAAAGTCACCCAACTGGCTTTTATGGCTAAGGCGGAACTAGAACTTACAGTCTCCTGGCGATTGGCTCAAAATCACTCAGCCACCTGGCTTTTGTGCCAAAGGTGGGACTAGAACTCACCGTCTCCTGGTTTCTAGTCTGGTACCTTAAACACTAGACCAGGGTAGGCAACCTTGGCTTTTTTATGACTGGTGGACTTCAACTCCCAGAATTCCTGAGCCAGCATGGCTCAGCTTGGAAACCCCTCCCTTTCCCCTCAGCATGGCTGGCTCAGGAATTAAAGAGCTAAGGTTGCCTACCCCTGCACTAGACTAAACGGGCTCTTAATATACCTTCTTTTCTAAATAATAAAATTTCACAATTTTGCTTTTGAAAGTGAATGAGTGCAAAAGGTCATCTGTGATAGACTACCACCAATCTGGCTGGAATTTCTGTTTTAGAATTTTTTTTTAATTGTACTTTTATTATTTTTATAAATCACTCAAAGTAGCAAACAGAACTAATAACATTCTGGAAGATGGAAACATAACACATTTTGGCCTTGTTCCTTGAAAATAATTACATAGTTTATGTATTAAATCCCTAAGACTGATTCAAGACCCATTTTATCTTCTGTATTCAATAATTACCTTTGGGGTGGGGGGTAAAATTAAAATTATGATCCAAAGATTTCAAGGGGTTGCAACTTGCTTGCTTCCATTCCTTTAGTAACTGTTCGAAGTTATAAAGGTGCTAAAAAAAGTGACTTATGACCGTTTTTGACATCTACGACCATTGCAGCCTTCCCAGGGTCATGTGATCAAAATTCAGGCACTTGGCAACTGGCATGTACTTACGACAGTTGTGGTGTCCTGGGGTCACGTGATCCCCTTTTGTGACGTTCCCCACTGGCTTCCAACAAGCAAAGTCAATGGGGGGAAACCATTTACTTAATGACCTACACCAGGGGTAGGCAAGCTTGGCTCTTTTATGACTCGTGGACTTCAACTCCCAGAATTCCCGAGTCAGCCATGCTGAGGAGAAAGGGAGAGGTTTCTATGCTGAGCCATGCTGGCTCAGGAATTCTGGGAGTTGAAGTCCACGAGTCATAAAAGAGCCAAGGTTGCCTACCCCTGACCTACACGATTCTCTTAACAACTACAGTGATTCACTTAACAACCGTGGCCAAAGTGGTCATAAAATGGGGCACAACTCGCTTAACTGCTGCCTTGCTCTAGCCACAGAAATTGTGGGCTACATTTTGGTTGTAAGTCGAGGATCAGCTGTCGTGAGGAGAAATCTTTTGTCCTTGTGAAGGGGCCGATGATCTGAAAGGTGTCCTCTCCCCTTTATTTCCAGGAGCAACTATAAAAACCTCGTCGAAACTGTGAACACCTATCAAAGCATCCTCACTGATCAAGTTGAACATTGGTGGCAGGACTAAGGAGCCCTGCCGTGTAACCCTCCCTGCACCGTGTCCCAAAATCTTTGTGCCTCAGTTTCCCCAGCAAGTCCCGGTCCGGCTTTCCATATTTTTTTGGGGGGGGTGTACAAGCGATGTCCTTCTGTTTAGCATGTGAATAAAGTTCCTTTCCTAGTAAGGCCTCCGCACAATTCTCTGATTCCTTCTTGGGGATGGATTTCTTTGTGGAGATGCAAGGAAACGACAATGACAACGACAACAAAAATAGAACAAAAAGAAGAGATGGGACTGAAATGGTATGGGGTCTCCTGCTTGTGCAGGGGGCTGGACTAGAAGACCTCCAAGGTCCCTCTCTGAATCTGTAAGGGTCTCCTACTTGAGAAGATCTCCACGGTCACTTCCATCTCTGTTATTCTGACCACCTGCAACCCTTTTTATGAACCGACAGATGCTTCGGCTTCTTCAGTGAGATCCGAGTACCCTATTTTGAAAGTTCAGAAAAGGAGATTGCTTTCAACAGCCATCTAAACCCCATCTAAAAGCCCTCGGGTTAAAACCGAACCACAGGGGGGGAAAAAAATGATCTTCTGAGCAACGGTGGAAGTGCCAGATGAAGTAATTCCCCTCAGCATGAAGCAAGAGGCGAAGTGTGATGTTTTGAAACCACTTTCTATGCCAGATCCTTCCCATTTTGGGGAAAGAGCATAAGGGTTTTATTTTGATTTTTTTTCTTCCCCTAATACTTCTGTGTTCCCCTTCATCACTTCTTGGTAGGGTGTGGAAGGAAGGCAAACAAAAGAGGTTAGAAAGCGTGTTTCTCAATCTTGGCAACTTTAAGTTGGGTGGACTTCAACTCCCAGAATTCCCCAGCCAGCTTGGCTGGCTGAGGAATTCTGGGAATTGAAGTCCACTCCTCTTTAATTTGATTAAATGAAGTTGTTCACATTTGCTATTCATTCAACACCTTTTCTTCCAGCCTTACTAGCCTCTGTTAGAATAAATTAATCCTTCAGATGATATTCATTTTTACGGTCGATATTCTTCCAAGCCAAGGAAGATTGACATTCTTCCATATTCGAATGTCAACCGTTATCTTTTTCCAGATCTGTAAAGAATTCGGTTTGAATAAACCTTTATTGTTTTTCCTCAAGCAAATCTCCAGCTACTTAATTCATTGACTAAGCTCTGCTGTTACTCGCACCTGACTGGCAATAAAATGGCAGGCAAGATTTCACTTCAGAATGTAATTTATTCATTCCTTCGTTTATCTCCTGTCTTTATTATTTTTACAAATCACTCAAGGCAGCAAACACCTCCAACACACTTTCCTCTTCCTCTTTTCCTCACAACAACGACCCTATGAGGTGGGTTGGACTGAGAGAGAGTGATTGACTCAAAGTCAGACAGCCGGCTTTCATGCCTAAGGCAGGACTAGAACTCACCATCTCGTGGTGATTGGCCCAAAGTCAGACTTAGCCTTTCCTACCTAAGGCGGGACTAGAACTCATTGTCTCCTGGTGATTGGCCCAAAGCCACTCAGCTGGATTTCATTGCTAAGACAGGACTCGAACTCATAACCTTCCGATTTCCAGCCTGATGCCTTAAACCACTAAGCCAAATTGGCTAATTGTATACATTTCTGACAGTTGAGAGATAAAGGGGAAACCAACATGTAAAATTCCCCTTTGAAGGCCGGTCTTGGCAAAACAACAACTCCAAGACGTAATTCTTGTAAATCTGAAGCAACGAGGTTTGGGATTTTGTAATTATTATTTTCAAAGCTGTTGCATATCTAAAACCCTTCCGCTCTGGGGTAAGAAGGACCTTTTTTCAACTCAACAATTGCTACAATACAGATAGTCTTCCACTTACGGCCACCATTGAGCCCACTGTCGCTAAGTGAGATGACTGTTAAGTGAATTTTGCCCCCTTTTACGACCTTTCTCACCGCGTTTGTTAAGTGAATCACTGCAGTTGTTAAGTAAGAGTGAATCTGGATTCCCCATTGATTTTGCTTATCAGAAGGTCACAAAAAGGAGATCACATGACCCCGGCACACTGCAACCGTCGTAAATATGAATCAGTTGCCAAGTCTCTCAGTTTTTTTTTTTGTTTCATATATCTAAGTTTTTTATTAATTTTCCAATATTGCATTTACATATTTGAAAAGTAGCATGGCAGTTGAGCATCTTAATTCCATTACATTTAAATATCATCAGAACAAATCTCAAAGTATTACAACAACAAATTCCCTCTCTTTCCCCCATAAGAGCTACTATCATATTCAGATCAATACAGTTCTTATTCTATCAATCAAACAATTTTGATTGCGTGACCACGGGGATGCTGCAACGGCCGTGTGAAAAACAGTCATAAGTTACTTTTTTCAGCACCGTTATAACTTTGAACAGTCACTAAATGAGCTGTCGAAAGTCGGGGACCACCTGTATCTGGTGGGCAATGGTGTGGAGAAGACTTCGTGAAGGGTTCCCGGCACGTGGGGTGGACCACCCGCAGCTCACATCATGATCGAATAATCCAAGCCATGATCGGTGCTCCAGTCAGTAACTTGGCTAATGTCCTCACTGTCCGAATGGCGCCTGGCTTCGCTTCTCCTACAGAAGATTCTGGAAAATTCCCTCTGGAACTTCACCCCTCCAAAAGCGTAGACCAAGGGATTGAGGCAGCAGTGGGTGAGGGCTAAACTCCTGGTGATCAAGAGTCCGGAATCCAACACCTTCTCCCACTCACAGTGCCGCTTCAAATGGCCCAGACGTTGAAAGATGTCCACCAGCATCAAGCAATGAAAAGGGCACCAACAGGCGATGAAGGTGATCCAGATGACCAGCAGGAGACGGAGAGGCAAATGCTTGCTCAGAAGTCCAGCCTGGTGCAGCTTGGTGAAAATCTGACTGTAGCAGTAGACCATTGCTTGGACAGGCCACCAAAAACCCAGAAGGAAGAAGATGGCTTGTAGCCCCAGTTTCCAGGAGTTGGCATCCTGGACCTCAAAGCCCAGCTGGCAGACGAGAGTCATGGCTTCCGGAACATAGCTGACTGTCCGGAAGTGGAGATCCACAATGGCGAACGCGATGCCCATGCCCCAGAAAGAGGCCGAAGTGAGGTAGATGTGAGAACGCTTCAAGAAGAAGTGTGGTGACGTCCCCCGGACCACCACGAAGTAGCGCTCAATGCTGATGTAGGTCAGGAGAAGGATGTTGGTGACCACGTTCATGGTGGAGAGCCCCTCGGTCAGCTTGCAGAGGAATTCTCCAAAGGTCCAGCCGTGGATAAATTGGGCAGCTTCGAAAGGGAGGGTTAAGACCAGAAGGAAATCGGCCACCGCCAGCTGGAAGAGGTAGTGGTCAGCAAAGCGCCAGGACCGGCGATTTTGGCCCAAGATAGCCAGCACCAAGCTGTTGCCCAGCAGCCCCACCACGAACACCACGGAGAAGAACACGGGCACAAAATAGCGAGCGAAGGCGCTCACTTCGGTGGGAAGGCACGGCTGGGCGTTGGGGTTGATCTCGGGCAACGTGCCCAGCTGGGAAGGAGGGAAGGAAGGAAAAAGAGAAAAATTTGGGAAAAAATCTCAGGACATCCCAGATATACAGCCTTACACTCAGGCGCCCACCTCTGCCTCCTTAGGAATTGCGGGTGGTTGGTGGTGTTGTCCAATGGTACTGCTTTTTCTGCTGGCTGGATTGCTAGTGACTAACAGGAGGAGTAAACGAGGAGGGAAGAAGCTGATGGAACGGAGTGGAAAATTATCTGGATCCAATCTTATGGGGAAGGGAGGGGAGGGGAAAGGGGAGGAAGGAAAAAGGGAGGGAGGGAGGGAGGGAGGGAGGGAGGGAGGGAGGGAGGGAGGGAGGGAGGGAAAAGAAAATATCCCATAATATTTAATGCAATGCTGATAATGTGAGAGCAGGACTTTTTTTCCCCTTTCATTCGTTTATTCTTTCATCCTTTTCTCCACCCTTCACTGCTTTCCTTTCTTTTTCTTTCTTTCCTTCTTTCTTTCTTTTTGTCTTTCCTTTCTCTTTTCTTTTTTTCTTCTTGCTCTTTTTCTCTTCCTTCCCTTTTCTTCTCTCTTCTGCTCCTCCTTCTCTTCCCCCCCCTCCTCCTCTTCCTGCGCAATTTCTCTGTTCTCTCCCTTCCCAGTCTCAAGCCATGTTCTGTGAAAACCCCACAGAATCCAAAGCTCCCTCCTCCCTTTAAGGATTGGGTCCTGGTTGTTATCGGCTGGAAGCAAAAGCCGGTGGGGGAAGCCTTTGTGTGCAATCAAACAGGGAGGTCACTTGCACACACAAACAGGATTGGCTCAAGGTATTTTGCTGACCAAAGCAGTAGTAGATAAGACAGCTCCCTCGCTGCATTATACACGCACCAGGCTTGGTCTGGCAGGCCTGGATACTCCTGTCCTGCCTGTGAAGTAGTAGTAGAAGCTGGACATGGTGGATCATGCAACCCTCTCCACGCTCTCGGCAAACCTCCCAGCACCAAATGTCCAACGGGCCAATCCAGTTGGGTTGAGCTTGCAAGTCTACTTTTCAAAGGACAGGCTCAGCTAATCCGCTGGCTACTCAACAGGCTAGCATTTTTTTCCCCTCCACCTGGACCACTTCAAGATAGGTGGACTTCAACTCCCAGAATTCCCCAGCCAGCTAGGCTGGCTGGGGAATTCTGGGAGGTGAAGCCCACACAGCTGAAAGTAGCCAAGGTTAAGAAACACTGGACCAGAGACAGAGAACTGACCTACCTCATAATAGTCCTCATCGTCGTAATTGGTGGATTGATTTAGTTCCATTGTTGCATCCAAAGGTTATCCTTGACTATCCTTCTGTGCTGCCGTTTCCCCAGGGTGGACTCAATAATGTGGGGAAGTCACCAGATCTTCTGGTGGGGAAAAGGAAACCCTCACGTTATGAAAGGTTTCCCAATGGGGAAGTTTAACTGCAACGAGGGCTGGTTGCTTGTTTTTCTTCTCAGCCGCTTTGGCCAAGGAGCAGTTGGAGAATCGTGGCCCCAAACCCATTTCTGAAATTCAATATACCCCCAAGGTCAGGAGTGGGCAACTATGGCCTCTTTATGACCAGTGGACTTCAACTCCCAGAATTCATGGGCCCTTTACAATCTGTGGACATCAACTCCCAGAATTCATAGCCCTTTACCACCTATGGATTTCAACTCCCAGAAGCCATAGCCCCTTTATGACCAGTGGACTTCAACTCCCAGAATTCATGGCCCCTTTACAACCTGTGGACTTCAACTCCCAGAATTCATGGCTCCTTTACAACCTGTGGACTTCAACTCCCAGAATTCATGGCCCCTTTACCACCTATGGACTTCAACTCCCAGAATTCATGGCCCCTTTACCAACTGTGGACTTCAACTCCCAGAATTCATGGCCCCTTTACCACCTATGGACTAACTCCCAGAATTCATGGCTCCTTTACAACCTGTGGACTTCAACTCCCAGAATTCATAGTCCCCTTCTGACCTGTGGGCTTCAATTCACAGGAGGAGGAAGAGGAGGAGAGGAAGAGGAGGAGACTAGGAAAAAGTAACACAATAAAATAAAGAATGCAGAGATCCCAGGTACAGAAAAACACCGAAAACGCTAGACTCACAATTAGTCAGCCTGAACATTTCATTAAAAACACTCTCATCTCATTCAGCATTTATATTTTTTAATTTTAGAATGTTGAATACATATAGAGTTAAGCTCCTTTTTTTTTTTTTTTTGGATATCCTCTCTCCAGTATTAGACATCCAGAAGAATTGAGCAAAAACAACGAGATGATTTTCTTCTCTCATCTGTCCTTATTGGTGTATATTCGGTTCAAAGACTCGCTCAAAACTCTTCTCATTTTACCAGATTTAGATGGAAAACATAATCTTCAGCTATCCGTTTCAGAAGGGCAGTCAAGAGTTTATGATAAGAAAACAAGGACACAACACGAGTCAACACAATGCAACAGCAGATGCCATGAACGAACAACTTGGAGGTTTTGACACGAGCCTTGACACCTTGTGGTTTCTGGCATGGGAAGTTTTCGACCCCAATTTTCAACCTCAGAACGCTGCTCTCTTTGATTAGGAGAAGAAACTGAAAACATGAACAGATAACCTCAAAACCATATTGAGCCACCAGTTTCTTGAGTCAGACATGGAAGCGATAATGTTCAAAAACCGTCAGGATTGCCGGGACCCCCCCTCCTTATCCGAAGAACAATTTTTTCAGAAAGTCTGAATGAAACTTCATTCACAGGGGAATTTCGATGCTCGGTCTTGATGCTAGACACACAGGCAGTCCTCAGCTTCGAATAACAGAATAAGAGAGCTGGAAGGGACCTTGGAGGTCATCTAGTCCAACCTCCTGCTTAAGCAGGAGACCCTATACCACTTCAGACAAATGGCTGTCCAATCTCTTCTTAAAAACCACCTGACTGTTGGGATCAGAATGTCCATTGGTAAACAAAGCGATTGTTAAATGACTCGTACCTGATTTTACCAGTTTTATTTTGCCATGGCTATTAAGCGAATCATGCAGTTCAATGGATCACACGGTCATTAAGCGAAACCAGCTTCCCCCCCCCTCCCGCCATTGGCTTTGCATGTCAGGAGCCAGCTGAGAAGGTCACAAATGGTGATCACACATGACCCCAGAGCAGGAATTTTAATCACATTGACACAATGGTCATAACTGTGAGGACCAGTCATAAATCACTTTTCTCAGTGCTGTTGCAATTTCGAACGGTCGCAAAACAAAGAGTTGTTAAGACGAGGACTAGCTGTACCGACGGAGTGCCATGTTCCCTCTGTTTACAGAGCAGCAAGAGGAGAATTCTGGGATAGCAATGGCGTCCATTCCCCACCATCCAAACAAGGAAAGTTCAGTCAGAACTGAAGAAGTTTCTGATATGGGAAGCGAAACATCTTCAAGGAAAAACAACGAAAGTCCAGTCAGAGCTGAAGAAGTTTCTTGGATGGAAAGTGAAATATCTTCAAAGAAAAACCAGTTGCCTCGTGAAAAAGGCACCTTTGGAACAATGGCGTCCTTACGGCCCCAGATCATTCTAGAAAGCCGCATAGGAGCAATCTGTGCTTTCGGACCAACTTGAATCTCTCTGCTGGCTGAAGGACCTGGAATGCTTCTTCAGGAAGTTCTGATTGATGCAGCCGAATCTCCTCAGCACGGTCAGGAGCTTGTTCCGGAACTTGACGCCGACAAAGGCGTAGAGCAGCGGGTTGAGGCAACAGTGGAAGAAGCCTAAGCTGGTGGTGACGGTATCGGCAATGTCCAAGCTCTCATCCCTCTGGCAATCCTTCTGCAGGAGGTCCAGCTGGAGCAAGGTGTTGAGGAACTGCACCAAATGATAGGGCGACCAGCAGAGGAAAAAGGCCACCACCACCACCAAGATAACCTTGAGGGCCTTGTGTTTTTGGAACCCTCTGGAACGCAAGAGGGTGAGGATGATGTGGACGTAGCAGTAGATCATGGCCATCAGAGGGAGCAAGAAAGCGACCAGTTGGTTGATGATAATCAGGGCGATTCTCCACCTCTTGCTACTATGAGGTGGGAAGGAGAGGACGCAGGAAGTAACGTTCAGACGGCTGTCAAACTCGGCCGTCAGGTAAATGAAGTCGGGCACGGTCAGCAGGAAGCAGACGAGCCACACCAGCAAGGTGGTGTAGACGATCAGGAAGCGCTTGTTCCTGTTGTACATCCGTATGACGTAGACGATGGAGAGGTACCGCTCAAAGCTGATGCAGATGAGGAAGAGGATGCTGGCGTAGAAGTTGATCTTCAGGATGCTGCCGATGACCTTGCAAAGGAAGTCCTTGAAGATCCAGCCCAGCACGGCCTGGGCAGCCCAGAAAGGGAGCGTGAACACCAGAAGAATATCCGCGATGGCCAGGTTGAAGATGAAAATGTCGGTCCCCAGTAAGGAGACTTTGTCCAGGAGCAAGACAGCGATGACCATCATGTTGCCTCCGAGACCCAGCAAGAAAATTAGGGTGTAGAAGGAAGGCAGAAACTGCATGGAAAAGTTCTGATATGGGTTCAGATCGCACGGCTGGGCTAAGCAACAGTCGTAGGAATAACTGTCATTGTAGTCGTCCATCTCTCCACTGTAATTGAAGTACATGATGAGATCTTCCGTCTAAAAGGAGGAAACACGGCAGAGGATTACTTTATTTTATTGTTCAATTTTATAGTTTTTATTTTAACTCTTTTTGCTGGCGGCCTGAGGCTGGAGGCTCAAAAACGCTGTGATAAGGATATAGGCAGGCCTTGACTTACGACCACAAGAATAGAATAGAATAGAATAGAATAGAATAGAATAGAATAGAATAGAATAGAATAGAATAGAAAATAGAATAGAATAGAAAATAGAATAGAATAGAATAGAAAATAGAATAGAAAATAGAATAGAATAGAATAGAAAATAGAATAGAAAATAGAATAGAATAGAAAATAGAATAAAATAGAATAGAAAATAGAATAGAATAGAAAATAGAATAGAATAGAATAGAATAGAATAGAATAGAATAGAATAGAATAGAATAGAATAGAATAGAACAGAACAGAACAGAAAATAGAATAGAAAATGAAATAGAATAGAATAGAATAGAATAGAATGGAATGGAATTGGAATAATTAGAATTAAAATTATTCAAATTAGAATTAGAATAGAACAGAACAGAACAGAATAACAGAGTTGGAAGGGACCTTGGAGGTCATCTAGTCCAACCCCCTGCTCAGGGAGGAGACCCTATATCATTTCAGCCAAATGGTTGTCCACTCTCTTCTTAAAAACTTCCGAGTGTTACAGCATTCACAATTTCACAATTAAGTCAAAATTTTCTGTTGCTAAGTGAGACAGTTACTGAAGGAGTTTTGCCCCATTTTACGACCTTTTTGCCCCAGTTGTTAAGAGAATCATTGCAATAGTTCAGTTAGTTGAGTGAATCTGGCTTCCCCATTGACTTTGCTTGTCGGAAGGGCACAAAAGGAAACCACGTGACCCCAGGGTGCTACCACCGTCATAAATATGAATCAGTTGCCAAGCGTCCAAATTCTGATCATGGGAACGTGGACTCCATTAGTATTACGGAGTAATATTCTTAGTATAGCTACATTAGCATAATGGCTTAGTATAACATTCCTAATCTACCAGTATAATCATCTTAATCTACAACAGTGTTTCTCAAATTGGAGGACTTTTAAGATGTGTGCACTTCAACTCCCAGAATTCCCCAGCCCACAAGAGGAATGCGCTGACTGGCTGGGGAATTCTGGGAGTTGTAGTCCACGCATTTTAAAGTCTCCAAGTCTGAGAAACACTACACGACATACAATCCTCTCTACTCCATCGCTGATCAGCTGAAGGCTGCTGGTACCACCTCAATGGTGCAAACCAGGCTTGTGTTTGTGGGGAGATTGTCGTTGTCTTTTTGCCTTTGCTGCCTGCCCCCCACACCCAACTCTGAGACAAAAAAACTTTTCTTTCAGTGCCCATGATAGAAATAAATTTGTTGATGTGCAGATTCGTTTCCCCAATAGAGCAGGCTATCATCAAGAGAAATTTCCAGTTGAGGTTGGGTTGAGTATCAGGGACGAAATTCTCAAATCTTTGAAGAAAGCCACAGAGTTTCGCTCTAAAAGAAGCCGCAACTTGAGGGCAAAGGAAGAAACCCACCAGGCATGTGAGAGAAAACACAATTCCCCTCAGCACTCTCTCAGTTGCACAGACACTTTCTGTTCCTGAAAGGGACGTTTGCTTTTATTTTAATTTCTCAATTTATGAGCAGAGCGTTTTTTCGGATTTTGTTGAAGGATATGAGATTTAATATCAAGGCACATGGCAACTGAGCTAGTTTTATTCTCCCAGAGAGCAGACTTAAAAAGGAGAAACAAAGAGAAGATCAACCAAAAGGATTAGGAGGCTGGAGGCTAAAACATATGAAGAACAGTTACAGGAATTGGGTATGTCTCGTCCAGAGGTCTGCAACTTTGACAAGTTTAAGACTGGTGGACTTCAGCTCCCAGAATTCCTGAGGAATTCTGGGAGCTGAAGTCCACAAGTCTTAAAGTTGTCAAGGTTGCAGATCCCTGGTCTAGTCTAATGAAAAGGACTAGTGGGGGTGACATGACAGCCGTGTTCCAATATTTGAGGGGCTCCTACAAAGATGAGGGGATCAAACTGTTTTCAAAAGCATCAAAATGCAAGATGAGGAACAATGGATGGAAACTAACCATGGAGAGAAGCAACCTAGAACTGAGAAGACATTTCCTAATGGTAAGAGCAATCCACCAATGGAACAACTTGCTTTCAGAACTTGTGGGTGCTCCATCACCGCAGGCTTTCAAAAAGAGATTGGACAATCATTTATCTGAAATGGTATAGGGTCTCCTGGTTGGGCAGGGGGTTGGACTAGAAGACCTCCAAGGTCCCTTCCAACTCTATTGTTGTTCTATGTACTAAGATTCCTTGGCCTTTACACTTTTGCTACATGCATCCTCTAGTAACAGAGTAGACAGAACCCAAAACCCCAAAAAACTTTGCTTTCTGAATCAGATTTTAGGTTGGAAGCCGTGTTTCTCAACCTCAGCAACTTTTAAGATGGGTGGACTTCAACTCCCAAAATTCTCCAGCCACCGTGCATGGACTGGTGGATTGTGGGAGATGAAGTCCAGGCTTCTTAAAGTGGCCGAGTTTGAAAAACACTGTTGTGAAGAGTCTCTTTTGAGACCAAGCTACACTTCTAGGAATGATATGGATACAAAGACGTAGGTTTTTCTGGGTAGTCTCTTATCCAAATAAAGGCAGGTCCGTAGTTGCTTAGCTTTCTCTGCAAGAACGGCCAAGATTTGCTGGATATCCTCTATTGCTCTGGGGATGGAAATTTTGAAGTTTTTTTTTATGAGATGTAAACATCTTATATGTAGCTCTCCTTCACTGAAGCACCTTTTCGCATGTATCATAATGCATATTAAAAAGGAGAAGCCTTTTTGGTCACACAGGGTGGCTGCCATTTTGACGTGTTGACTCAATATAGCTGGAAAAATTAAATATTTTCTGGATTCGCAGAAAATATTGATTCCTCAGTTGTTGGCTACACCTCTCTTCTTACGCCTAGTGAGATGGGTAAAAAAAGAGATGGAGCTTCAATTATGCAGTTGCAGCCCCCAACTTGACTTTTTCTGCCTGTGTGGACCCTCCTGGAGCAGGTGCCAGGTGCTGGAGGAGGAGGAGGAGGAGGAGGAGGAGGAGGAGGAGGAGGAGGAGGAGGAGGAGAAGAAGAAGAAGAAGAAGAAGAAGAAGAAGAAGAAGAAGAAGAAGAAGAAGAAGAAGAAGAAGAAGAAGAAGAAGAAGAAGAAGAAGAAGAAGAAGAAGAAGAAGAAGAAGAAGAAGAAGAAGAAGAAGAAGAAGAAGATGTCACCATTTTGAAGTTCATTTCTACACCTCTCTACTATTTCTGGAAAAGGTTCGCAGGTTTATTTTTTATTCTTCGAAGTTGCCACATTACACCAGACCTGCGAAAGAGGGGTTTTTGCGTGACGAATGTGCCTAGACAAGACTGGAGATTAGGAGCGGCTTTTCAGAGAATTTGCAGATGGTGCTATAGATGCTCGTGCTCTGCCAGGTACTGTCTAGCCACGAGGGGAAAGTTCTGGATTTGCAGACGTTATTGCCATGCACAGAATTTCTGTCTTTCTCATTCAGCTACGGTTTCCTCTCAGATCCACCCTGGGGCTCATTTGTTCCATTGATTTGGACATTTTGAATTGTAGTTTTGACCGTCATCAATGTCTGGAAACCTATAGCAAACCCTTGCAATGACTAAAAGTCAGAGGAGACGTTTTTTAATACCTGTAAACCCACACGCCCTTTCAAGGGTCTTGCAAATTCTTTTAAACAGCTTTACCTTTTGTTTGTCTTGCTCTTTTTATTTAATCTCTCTCTCTCTTTTTAATGGCATCTTTTTTCCCCTCTGTCCCTCCGCTTCACTTTTTATTCCAATGGCATTTCCTTTTGAAACAGTCTTTTAATATTATTTTTATTACAGTGCAGTAGCAGGAGAGCCATTTCTTAAGGCTGCTCGGATGCCGTCTGATTTCACAAACAAAGCGAAACGATTTTTACAAACAAAACAACCAATGAAATAAAACTAACCCCAACTTCCCTCCATTTCTGGAGTTAAGAACGAGTGTGCTTCTAAACACCGAATGATGTCTCATCATCCCCTAATCTAGCTGTCGATATGCTGTCATTCAGAAGGTAAATTGATTCAGAAATTCTGGCTGGGAAAACGTAGCAGTTGGATTTCCAAAATCTTGGTCCAATCCAGCAGCCAGATTTATTTTAGAAGCTGAATTAATGCGGTCTTTTCCGGGAATTGATCAATGCATGGGAAAAAAAATGTCTCTACATGCAGAGAATCTGAGGCCCAATACCTCATGGGGGATTAGGGGTAAATTAATTTAGTTCTGAGTCTTTGCATTTTCAAGGCAACATTGAACTAAAAGCTAGCGTTCTATATTTTTAATTGCACACCCACCAGAGTTGCTTTATGCGTGAGATGCCAGGTTTCTAAATCTGATAATAAAATATTTTGTATTACAATCTGCCAGAATTTTAAACATGGAAACTTATCCAAGACAGCTATATGCAAAATACATCTATTTATCTGAAAATATATGAACACACATTCTATTACAGAAGTGTGCGCTCATTAGGCAAAACTGCCTTCCCTCCCAAGCACAGAGCCTTTTCTGTGCAAGAAAATACTTTCAAATTTTAGAATAGAACAGAACAGAATAACAGAGTTGGAAGGGACTCTGGAGGTCATCTAGTCCAACCCCCTGCTCAGGCAGGAAACCCTATTCCATTTCAGACAAGTGGCTGTCTCTTCTTAAAGACCCACAACTTCTGGAGGCAGGTTGTTCCACTGATGAATTGTTCTAAATGTCAGGAAATTTCTTGTTAATTCTAGGTTGCTTCTTTCTTTGATTAGTTTCCATCTGTTGTATTTTAGTGTACAGTTTTTTCTTTTCTTTTCAAATAGCTTTACAACTACAATTAATTGCTGGTATGAATGAGAAAACTAAGGCTGACAGCTCCATCCCTCCCCATCACACTCTCTACTTCCCCCTGCA